GCCAAAATGGGAGCAATACGACAGTGAAGAATCTCTCTAAAAAAAAATCACATACGAATTTTTAATAAAATGGTATGCAATAAAGAACAAAAAAAAAAAGGAAAAAAGATGGTAATAAAAATTAGAAAATTCGTGAGATTATTATAATGGTAAGAAATGTTTCGGTCCATTAAGTCGTATATAAAATCATAAAATGGAAAAACGGAAGCCACCCAGAAATTCCGGGGAAAAATCCGTGCTAGCTTTTATGGCTAAATCTGTGCAATCTCCATGCAACATCATATAACGTGTATTTGCATTATTCCGTACGCAGGTGCCTGAACTTCACTACATCATTAACTGCTGTTCATGCTGACATTAAGCCGTACTACCGGAACTTTGCCCGATAAAATACTGCACAGTGACTTTCACTGGCAGAATGGGTCGTTGTTCCTGTTCCTCAGCTTGTTAGCCTTTTCCTTTTGCCTGTAGAGCCGTAAAGGCGTACTGCCTTCTATTTCCATTGGGGGATCCACTTTATGATTTTGGGCCTACCCCCCATCCCTCTTTCCAACGGCACAGATAGAAGTGCTAAAACTGAAGAAAGCTCTCTTCCACACCCGGCCGTCCCCTTCACCCCCAGAAGCCTCATTCTCCCCTCCCCTTTCCCACTCGTCGCCGACAGAGGCCCACCCTCCTAGGGTGTCCTGGATCGCCTATGGTGCCTTCTCGATATGCTTGAAACTACCGGAGTCGGCACCTCGTCATATTTCAACAAAGCCTAATCTGCTGCCATTTTTACACTACAGTGATGTAGACTGTAGTCGGGATTTGTGAGAGAAAGCCCTGAAGTACTGTGGTAAAAAAAAAAATACCTGAATATCAAGCCGATGATAAACAAGGTTGTCCAGCACATATTCTTGCCTTGAATTCTTTAGTAGCATTGCAATTTTACTGTCCGATTCGCTTAATTTCATCGCCAGGACAACAACAAATGGTGCATTTCTAAGCTGAAAGGTTGGCACAAAATAAAGAACTGATCGTACAAAAAGAAAAACCTTACATATTCAGAATAAGTTACTAAACCTACTAGAAAGTTGTTTTAAACTAAACTTCCACTAACTTTTCAATTACCACAATTGTCGTATTGACGAGATCCAGTTTTGGTAATAGTAATAAATGTATACAACTTAATGGACCGAAACACTTCCTACCATTAAAATAAACTCGAAAATTTTCTAATTTTCATTCCTCACCTTCTTTTTTCTTTCTCTTTATTTCATTCCTTCTTATTATAACTTTCTACTACAGCTGTTGTTTCCTTCCTTATACAGCTCTTATTAGAGCTTTCTAATGCCATCTAAAATCGCCAATTAGTATCAGTCTTAACCAATTCCTGGTCCTTATGATATACGTAAGGTGGTGTACATAGAGGAGTGTGCGTGCATCCCAGTAACACCATGAAGATGAGATTCTCACGCCGACTGTTTGGGGGGCTTTGGTCCCTATCTGCTCTATTTTCTCCCCACCATTCTCGTATACAACTTAACGGACTATATGGGAGATCTAAATGGCACTTCTAGTGATTTCAACAATTATCAAAATTTGATTGTGTTCACTCTCCACGCTGGTAAGTCAGCAACGCCAAACAAACTGCATATGTTAACGCATAGACAATTTCTGGTCCTCGTCCTCTTCCGATCTCCTAGCCAGAGATATTCATTGTTTGTATTTTTAAAATTTCTATAATACTTAATGGACCGAAACGTCTTAGCTTTCCATTTTTAGTTCATTCTCCTTCTATTAATTCCCTCATTGACGTCTTTCTTGCCTCATTGACGTCTTTCTAGCCTTGATTCTCTAATTTGACTCGCATCTCTATATGAATTTGTTATTCCTCATAAGAAAAATTTAAAAAAAAAAACATACGCGTTTCCAGGTATATTTCAATTTCAATTTTTCTTTTCTTCGATTTTTAACAATTTCAAATGAGCCTTCGCTAAATTCTTTGGCTGTGAAATGCTCACTGTGCCATAAATCTTTTTCTGGCCATGCTTCCAGCACACCGATATGCGATGGCCATGGAGATGATTTTCGCATATTTGATGTGATAATGACTCGCCTGGAAAACGTCCTGTGTTTTAGTTACACACATAAATCATGGATTGAGACTAACAATAACTTTAAAAAAACTTGTAGAAATTTAATTTCAGCACTGGCAAAATCCCATTTTTTTTTGTAAAAACCAAAAAAGCAATTCCTCCATTTCTTCCTCCTTCTTTCCTCTCATCCAGCCCTTTTGCCACCATAAATCCGGAGATCAGAATCTTTGAACTAACTATGATTCCAAGTCCGATTCTCAAGTTATTCAGCTATCATTTTTCCAGGTGCTTTGACTAATACTCTACTGACTGGCACTCAGCCTGCTGCCAATTCTGAAGTTCGTCTTTTCTCCTCAGATTACTCAATCTACAGTTTTTCCATTAAAAGCACTTTGTAACATTTATTTGAGACAATTGCCACTTTCAGTTTTTTATGCGTTTTTTGCAGTAATGCAATGCAAAAAACGCATATTGACGAGAGGTTGTCTGTG